TTTTCCTTACCACCCTACAGGGAGATCAACTGCATGTGTTAAGACCAACTCTTTGCTGCTCGCTCTAAGGATAACCGTTCATACTTGCTTCAAGTTCCTCTGGTCTCATACATTCCCCTGTATATATAGTAACTAATGCATCATGATACATCAACATGGAGAATGTGTAGGCATTTCACACACGCAGTGTAGGCCCTAGTGAGGGTAGGCCCTGGCGAAGGCGCTGAGCTATATTGGTCAGATGATGTCAGATGTATGTATTCCGTATTCTACATGATTTTATGTTATTTTAATACGTATAATTGTAGGGTTCACTTTCCCGAACATTCAACACAGGCACCCCGAAGGGGCCTCGAATTCAAGGAATATTATGTTGCCACTCTACCGGAAGAAGGCGCCGAGACATGGGCATTGTGTCGTCTGTGGCAAGTCGTGGGAAGCCTCAACAACTCGGAAGATCTCGGAAGTCTTCAAACGCAAAGCAGGACATCAGGCAGTCGACGTTCCAAAGGCTTCACCAAAGCTCTGACACACCAGCGTCGATAGTCAGCGATTCCCGAGTGTTCCAGCGAGTCAAGGGAAGGGGACGTGAGTCCAGCCTATGTCTGGACATGGGGACATATGGGGACACATACCCAGCTCCAATCGTTGTTTGTTTTGTTTCCTTCCGGAGGCCCAGATGATTCTGCCACGCGCAGATAATGTTTTCCAGCATAGCAAGTCCGTTTGGCTCAAATTTAGCGCATTTGAGAGCAGAATTGATTAGATATGCATGTATATGCATGTATATTATAGATTCAGCCTGAAAATGCTTGCCTGCAGAGAGTATTAGCCTTGTTGATGCTTGTTCTATTTTGTTTCCTAAAGTGCCACGCCTTAACGCAATGTCCGCGCAATTGACGTGGACCTTGCGAGAACTCCAGAAGCAGCAACATGAGTCTTGGCAGACGCTGCAATTGTGGAACTCCGCAAACGAGTTAAGAGACAGATGAGGGACAACATGCACCACCTGAAACCATGTTTAATGAACAAATCTACGGGATGCAGCTCGGAGGTTACTCCATCCGGAGCACGTTGCCCTCCACCCGGGACTCGTTGGACGCGGCTCAGGACTCGTTGGCCGCGATGGACCTCTTGAGGCAACAGCATGAGGAGTGGCAGCAGTGTGTCACCACTTTGTTAGGACGATTTGATGGGCTCCAAGCGTCGGAGCGACTCCAAGCTTCGGACCAGGCCGGGCCCATGGGCACGAATCCAAACCCATGCCCAAATGCAACACGACGTCTTAATGGCGGACGCTCATTTTGGACATTTTCGTGTGAACTTGCATCTGTTTGGCGCAGAATGTGTGTTCAAATCCTTGTCGAGGACTTTTTTCCACTGGGTCCTATCATTCGCTGGGTCCTTTTCACTCGGTCCTTGGACTAGTAGGAGTACTAGTATGGTATACGTTTGGGGTTCATCTTCGTCGTCCAAAGTCAACCTCAAGGTACCGGGAGAGATGAGCGAATCGGTGAGCGAGATCATCTTCTCTCAGAGCACTGAGGTGATCGCGGAGGAGGTGGGGTTGGATGTTCAAGATCTGTGTATGTGGCATGTGTGTGTGTGTGTTTGTTCTGTTCATTGCTGTTCCTTGGCGTGTGGGCCTTTAGGAAGACAAATAAAACCTTTAGATATCTTTAGAGACCGTTGACAAAATCGTTCCCAAAAAGTTGGGCCATTCATCCCGTTGGGCCATGACTCTTCGCAGTTCGTTCCTGCTGCCTCGGTTGCCATGACTGAAGTGATTACCCTGTCCGAAATCGGGTTCACATGAGCTTTGGCCGAACCCGGGCAGCCGTTCTAGACATGTCACACTGGTCATGCCAGACTCGCCATGTGTAGCCGTGGTTTACAGTATGTGATGTCCTCAATGTATTTTTGGCATCCATCCCGTTCCATCCAACCGGCTTGAGGAGCTACAGACAGTCTTCCGAGCTAGTGTCAGTGAGGGTTAGATTAGATACATGCAGTCGTTTGAACAAGAGAAGATGGTGACCTTCAACGCATACAGGTACTGAGTTACCAGCAGGAACCACCTCGTGCATTTGCAACCTCTGACACAAAATCACCTCAAGCCTGAAGATTATGATTTACACACCTCGAAGGTGTGAGTGTCCCAACCCTCTCAGGCTGGATCTATAGTACTATAGGCTATAGGGACTTTCGCCGAAGAACGCCAAAAGCGGGCGGACGTCCGTCACCGTCACCACCGAAGAACGCCCCGCTATTCCCCAGGTGCGTGATCCACACTTGGGCCTTGTGCCGATCTCCGAAGCGACCGAAGGGGAGCAAGGAACAGAAACAGCGGCAATCGCCACTCGGCACGAGATGTCCACGAGTCTTTAGACTACGAAAAGACCTCCACCAATTGTCACAACTTCCGAAGGAAGGACAGTTTACAGTAACTGTTCTTAGAAGGATCTTGAAAGACCCGGTCAGTGGTGAACCTGCGACTTGCTTTTGACATTGGGGGGCAGGTGAACTGTGCCTCGTCCAACATAGGGCCATGGCCCCTTGCCATCGATTGTTGTGGAACATCGGGAAGTGTTTTCATGCACAAGCAATCACTACAGACAGAAGTCACCTAAGACACAGATGGTCTTCATATGCTGGGTTCAGGACGTTCCTTCAAAAGACTCTGCCTTGTTGGATTTGGTTGGACCTCTTTTTCCCGGCTTTTCAGGTGAAGAAGTGGCGGCAGACGCACGGCACGGACGGGCGCTTTCCCAAGCTTCTGGAGGAGGTGCTCGAGGCTCGTGGTCAAGCCACGCACAGTATGACCATTTGGGGCCACAGGCACCAGACACTGAAGCGGGTCACCTGGAAGCTGCCTTGGCAGGTTTTGATGTATTTTTTCCATGGTGGTTTGAGGGGCCCTTCGAACCCTTTAGCCGCTTTGCAAGCTGTTGACTAGCAGCCACCTGAGCTGCTCAGTTGATGGAACAGCCTTCATTCAAGATGGTGAACCTGAGGGTCTTTAACATCTGCATAGTGCTGGGGGAGTGGTCCCGAAATACACATTGCGCACGTAGCACGCACTTCCCAATGTTTTTTGTATCATTTTATGCTGCACTCCGGTTTCTTTAGTATGGCTCCATTCCTGACTGGTATAAGCTTCCCCGCAAGGGGATAGACCGATAGTCCCACATGCATCACCCAACTGTATATTTGTATAACCATCCTGGAGTAGACAGAATATGAATCAAGTAATCCAATCAAAAAAGAACATCATCAGTGTTCCATTGGATTTGGATTTGACAATGTTCTATCTACTCCAGGATGACTGTCAATAATTACACGCGACCGGGACATGAGACCCTTAACATCGATGTTCTGTCGATGTTCTGTCGATCACCAGAGGTGAACCCCCAGGCACTTCTTTTTGGATGCATGACCGGCAGGACCCGGATTCAGATATCCGATGCCAAATCAAGTTTGGAATCCCAAGAGCACCCAATTGGTCCGTTGTTCTGTTTGCACAGACGGGTCTTCCATAATTGGACCGAACAACCCCACATGTGAAGCGTACTTGTGCTAAGCTGCGTGGATGCAGAAGCAGAAGAGGAATGATAGCGGATGATTGACGGTGACGTGAATGACGATGGTGAACCTATGTTGCTATGAGTGAGTGAGTCAGTGGAGGGAGGGAGAGTGGGTCGGGAAGTGGGTGAGGGAGTGGCTGAGTGAGTTGGTGAGTTCGAGGGAGGGAGGGAGGGAGGGAGGAAGGGAGGCAGGAATGGAGGGCGTGGGTGGGTGAGTCAGTGAGTTGAGTTGGTGTGAGATGAGTTGGTGATCGGTTGGTTGAGGTGCTGGTGACGTGAGGAGGAGGGAAGAGGCGGACAGGAGACACCTTTGTTTTGCCTTTGGCCACTGAGGTTGTGGAATCAAACGCCTTCGAGTACATCACTGGTGTGTTGATTCTGGCAAACATTGGTTTGATTGGAGTGGAGGCCTTGTGAGCTGTCAATGCGAGTGGGGACATGAAATGCGTGAACAGTTGAACAGATAAGTCAACTGATGTTTGACATTTCACATATGACATATATTGACATATGTTGCGATGTGTTGTTTACTTCACCTTAGAGGGTGGATGCACTGGAATACTGAAGGAACGTTCAATCCTGGAGTGCCTTCTTGGTAGCTTTTGCGGGGTACAATATTCTATCATGTTTCACCTCACCCAAACCTCACTTACGGAAACAACGTGGTCTTCCTATAGTATGTCTTCCTTTAAGTGCAAATTAATGATTAATGCAAATTAGTTTTAACAAATCAAACAGATCAGGTGCACTGTTCTCTCTAGTGGCCCTGAAGGTAAGACTTGAAACTTCACATCATCCAAATCCGACGCGACATAACAGTCGTCCAAATTACTTGGTTGTGGCAAAACATCAGTTTACCCAAAAGGGCCAATGGATGGTGGTCCCCGGATATCCTTGTGATTCCTTAGAGTCTAGAGCAAATGATGCAAGCCAGTCCGGAATAAGAGAGTATGGAATAGTTAGTTGGGTGTTATGCAAAACTCAACTCGTACAGTATTGAAAGATATTGAAAGCATACAATGCCAAGCGGATGGCTTCATTTACTGACAATGTTCAATTGCAAATATCGGTTCCACGCCCATTGGCATTATTAAAAGATGAACCAATAAAACAGGAAGCCATCAAGTCCTATATGTTGTGGTTAATGTGCAACCTGCAGACAGATTAATCACTCATGGCAGTCTTTCACGGTTGCATCGGGTAGAGTTTCAAGGGATGAATGACTAAATGTCCCTAAATAAATGTCTAGGAACCAAATAAACAGCGTGAGCTATCCTGCGTCCTAGGTAGTAGCACTGGTAGTAGCATCTTACTAAAATAGCTTAATAGCTACTAATTATATAGCTTGTACCCCTCCCGGACCTTAAACATTTTAGGATGTTCGGAGCAGTGGCGACCTCGACCTCCCAGGCTGAAATGTCCTTGCTGCAGATCGAGACTGCCTGGGCGCAAGACATCGAAAGGGTGTTTCTGGCGCTTTATACGGTGGAATTGCTTTTGCGTTTGGCAGCCGGTGGCCGCAGAAACTTCAAAAGTGCTTGGTTCCTGCCTCTCGGCCAGAGAAGGAAGGCTTTGATGAGTGGACGGGATGCTTCCTCAAAGAAGTACTATAGAGAATTGGAACTGCGCGTATATATATATACAGTATATATGTGGGGGGGGGACCTTTACGTATAATATAACGACCTCTCACTCCTCAGCTTCGTCCCAACTGCTGTACTCTACTCTATTCTAAAAAACGATTGTGCCAAAGATGCAAGGAGACTTGGATAATATACCTTACCACATAAACGTAGAGCCTGGTGGGATTCAAACAAGAGAAGTGGTATAGGGTAGGGTAAAAGATACACAGGTTGATCAACTACATATATATGATATATGTAATATATAATTAGTAGTCCTGGTCTCGGGTGGACAAAGTAGTTCTGGTCGGCTGTGCTGAGATCTGACCTTGGCTCTAAACACTAGTGAAAACCATTGTGAAGATAAAGCTCGAGTTTAAATGAGTGTGTCAAAGACTACTGCAGGGTAAGATACACTAGACTAGTTGTCCAGGTAGAATTACGCAGAGTAGAGTAGCATACATACAGACAGAATACACCCACGCAATAATTGCGACTAAAATTGAACAATATTATGGGTGTGGTTCTTGCCCTTTGTTGATCCTTGTTGCGTCATCCATTTCTCCTATGGACTTTTTGCACAGCCTGCGTTCTGAGTAACGGAGGACATGAACACAGAGAATATGGGCGGGAAAACAAACTTCTAGCACATCCTGCAGCATTACAACCAGAAAAGTTTTGTTGTCGTCTTACTTCTCGTTTGTCCCTCCCTCCCTCTCCTGTCCTAGGTTGAAGCCTTTTGCGCGCTTGCATGTTCACATCTTTTCACTTTCTATGTCATTTCGATCTGCAGTCTTCCTTTCATACCTCCCTTCAAGTAGACAATAGTAGGGTAAATGGGCAGAGTATATAAGAGTGAAAAAGTACGCGCATTTCCAGGACATCCTGCAGAGCGTTAGAGTGCATCATTTGCTTGCAAAACCTTTAGGTACATAAATACGAAAAGGAGCTTATGAAAGGGTTTACATATTGGTTACTGGTATATTAGGGGGTGCTTTCTTATTGTTTATCGGATAACTAGCCCACTCCTCTCCATTCAGCTTCGTCCCAGCTGCTGTACTTTACTGTATTCTATTCAAAAAAACGATTGTGCAAAGAAGACTCGGATAATACACTATGCCAAATAAATGTAGAGCAAGGTTGGTGACAGACAGGAGAAGTGGCATAGGATAGGGTAAAAGATAAAGCAGAAGCGAACACAGGTTGATAAACTACATGTATATAACAATATATATATAATATAATATAACAAAAATATAATACAATACAATATAATATAATATATAACTACTGTAGTAGTCCTGGTCTGTGGTTGACAAAGTACAAGGTAGTTCTGGTCGGCTGTGTAAAGATCTGATCTTGGCTCTAACCACTATTGGAAACCATTGTAAAGATGCAACTCGAGTTTAAATGAGTGTGTCAAAGACTATGGCAGGATAAGATAGACTAGGCTAGTTATCCAGGTAGAATAGCGCAGAGTAGAGTAGCATACATACAGACAAAATGCACCCATGAGATTATTGTGACCAAAATTGAACAATATCATGGGTGTGCGATCCTTGTTGAGTCCTCCATTGCATTACAAGCATAAAAGTTAGGTTGTAGGCTTACTTTTCGTCTGTCACTCCCTCCCTCTCCTGTCCTAGGTTGAAACCTTCTGCGCACTTGCACGTTCACATCTTTTCATGTTCTGTATCATTCAATTTCGGCCTGAAGAATAGGCAACGTATATAAGAGTGAAAAAGTATGTGCATGTCCAGGGCATCCTGCATCATTTGCTTGCTGCTTGCAAAGCCTTTAGGTGCATACATACGAAAAGGAGCTTATGAAAGAGTTTACATATTATTTGTATTAGGGGGTGCTTTCTCACTGTTTATCGGAGAACTGGCCCACTCCTCGCCATTCAGCTTCGTCGCGAACACCGGTTGACAAACTACATATCATACATAGTAGTCCAGTCCATGGTGAGGGGTTTATAAAAAAGGTTTTTGTGGAAGGGTGTGCACAAATACGATTGGCCTTGGCAGGGTGAGGGGTCTATAACATGATGGGTTTTGTGGGAGGGTGTGCGCAAATACGATGGGGGTGAGGGGTTTATAAAATGAGTTTTTGTGGTAGGGTGTGCACAAATACGAGGGACTTTTGACAAGGTGAGAGGTTTATAACATGGGTTGTTGTGGAGGGCGTGCGCAAATACGAGGGCCTTGGCAGGGTCAGGGGTTTATAAAGTGGGTCTTGTCGGAGGGTGTGCGCAAATACGATGGACTTTTAGAGGGTAAGGGGTTTATACAATGGGTTTGTCCAACCTTTGTGTTTTGTGTGCTTAAATTTGGTCATGGCATGGTCTGTTAATAATGACCTATAGCAAATTGCCAGTAGCCTATAAATGAGTAGATCTCCAAATCATGGGGGATGTACGATAGGCATAGTGTAATTCACAACCAGCCCTTATAAAGCAATAAAAAAGAGAGAAGTAACAAAAGTTTAGCCAACTCATAGTGATTGGGTTCTGAAAAAGATTGCTTAAACGGCGGTTATATTATGTTCTCCCCTGTTCACCCTTTTCTCCCTCCACAATGAAGACACATGATACTTAGTATTATTTTCTCCCTTTTCTCCATCCACACTGATAATAAATCATTATAGTTCCTGGGATTTGGACTTTGGCAGCCCACCAACACAAAAACAAATCACACATTGTGACATTGAACATATAGTGATTGTTTAAAGTAGATTTACAAAAGCCATGGAGCAATGGAATGTAAAGGTGTGCATTGTTCACTGCAGGCATGTGTTGTTTGTTTGAGTGAATGTTTGTTTTGCTGATTGTTTGTGTGTACTTTTTTCCGTTTTTCGGAAATGTTTGCGTTTTATGAAAAGAGGACTGGAAACGTAATTTTGTATATCACCAAGATCCCTCGTACACATATATGGAGGTCCCTCGTACATATATATAATTTATATGGTCACGAAAGCCAGCCGATAGGCTAGGCAGGAGTTGGGTTGGGCGAACGAAGTGAGTATACGGGGTGTGGGGGGGAGGGTCGCACAGCGCCAAATTTCGGAGGGCGAGCCCAGAGCCTGGTGGGGTATATATGTTTTATGTGGTATACAATCATGAATACACAACAAAAATAACCCGTATGTTTGGCAACAGCTTTTCTTGTCCAACATATTAGAATATTAGAGAATGCGATTCGTCACTTGGAGGGTTCTTTGTCCACCATGTTTTGTTGCAATTCTGAAGCTGAAGATCTCCATTGATTAGTTGATTATTTAAAGGTTAACTTTGTTCCTGTGCATTGTCCATAGAATTTCGGCCCCAACATCTGTGCAACGTGGCGGGGTTTACAGTGTCTACGCTGCAGTGCCTTCAAATTGTTGCTGTAGCACTTGCTGCCTGGAGCTTTCCCCGTGCCCATTTAATGGCATGTTCTGATTCCCCCCGCCACCAGTGTGCCAACATAGTCAGCTAGTGTTTTCTTTCTGGCTGTGCTGGATTTTGGCATGTCGCGGATGTGAAATCCTGACACCTGCAGCGGGGTCAAATCCATACCGACATGTGGACATGTGGGGTCGGCTGGGGTGAGCTACCTCGGCAACTCTACTGAGGCTGGACTTGTTTTTGGTTTGTGTCGGTCTGATTGCCTTGGTCGTTGTGCCCTTGGTGGAGTCAGAGACCAGCTCCCAGGAAGGCTGGATGCAGCTCTTGATTGTCAGAGGCAGGGAACCATTCGGTCCGGAATGCGCAGTATGCGGTCAGGCTTCGCATCCTAATACAACATCGTTTGCAAGCAAGCTTGCGCTGGGTTCCTGGCAAAGTGGATAGTTCTGAACGCTTAGCTGGCACTCCCCTCAGGATTGATGGTTCAATTGTTGTGTTTCTGAGGCACAACAGCAGTAATATTATATATGTTTTTTTTGTTTGCGTATCATTTCCATGACCCCTTTGGTCCTAGAAGTGCTTTCCGACCAGCTACCACCCCTAATGAGCGCACTCGAATTTGCAATAATAACCCGCACCACCCGCTGCTGTAACCTGCTGGTGCGAAGCCCACAGGTTTGCGCTTGCTGCGGCTGGCGCGTGTGCTGAGGACGGTGAAACGCTTCAAGGTGTGGGACGTGTGCTGCGGCGGGTGCTGGCGCGGGTGGTGGAAAAGGTACCGACTCTCGTGTAGATTCACATGGACCCCGAAAACAGTTGAAAACCACTGGGTGGTTCTCGTAGATGAGAAGAGTCTGACAGGGGCAGGGGTGTGTTGTCACCACGTCAACCTGCAGGAGCTGGAGTTGGGACAATCAATGGCCACCATCAATACATGCGAGTGGACCACTGACAGCAGACAGGGGTAGGAAAGCCAGGTCCTCAAAACTGATTCTGATAATTCCAAAAAGATCAAAAAGGACAGACTACTTTTGACGGGGCAGGCTGGAAGATGAGATGCTTTCCTTGGAGCTTATGCTCAAAATTTATAGCCACGTGTGTGTGTGTGTGTTTGTCGTGCTCTTTGATACCTTTTTCGGGGCTGGCGCAAGCTAAGCTAGAAAAGGAGTGGAAGGTAGTGCTGCTAC